CCCAGGCAGCTCAGACGTGTGTGTCAGACATGGATCGGCAAGGCCGGAAGGACCCTGGCTGAAGGCCAGGGGACTCTGGGCCCATTTCCCCTCTGGGTCTCTTCCCCCGCCCTGTCCCCGCAGGGGAGCTTCTCTGCGTGGCAGTCGCAGATTTCATGGCTGGGATACTGGCTGGGGGCTCTGGCGTGTGGCCGCGTGGTGGGTGGACTGCACTCACCTCTGGGTCCGGGGTCTCCCAGCTCCCCGGTGGGACCGCGGTATCCAGGGGGCCCTCGAGCCCCGGGGTGACCGATGGAGCCTGGGGGCCCCGGTGGGCCGGGGGGGCCAGCGGGACCCGGCCGACCGACGGACCCTGGTGCTAAGGGCTTCCTCAAGTGCGCGGCTAGCTGTGCGATTTGCTCTTTTGGAAAACAGAGATCAGACGTCTGTTCATCAGAAGTGTTATATAACGCGCGAATATACTGCCTTTCAAAGGAAGTTTGTTCATTGATTGAAAAGGGCTTTAACCACTTTGGGTACGTGATAAATGCTGTCCAGTCCTCAGTGACCCAAAGAGTGAATCACAGCCCTAGAGCTCCTTAAAGAGCTCATGAATCGGAGAGGCCAAAAGATGTCCACTTGGTCTGTCAGAGCTGAAAGGGCACGATTATTTGACCCTTGTGACCACTTCATTGAGCAGACATTTAGAACATCCCCCGTGCACCAGGCACCACGGTGAACCCTGCGGGGAGGGGGACCCCTCCAGTGCAGACCCCGAGGACCGCGGGGCGGTAGGCCAGCCCAGAGCGTGGCTTGGCTGGGAGGCTGCGTGGGGATGGGGTGAAGGCGAGGATGGGGCTGGGGGTGGGAGGGGCTGCAGCTCCAGGGGCGGGGCCGTGGGCGGGAAGGGACAGGACAGAGGGCACTCACCGCTGACCATCCCCACACACAGCTCTCTGATGTGCTGCTCGCTGGCTTCTTTGCCCTGGAATTCACCCCAAAATCCATCATCGTATTGGGGGGCATGCTGGCATCTCCTTGAGGCACCCCCACTATCACACTCTGCAAAGTAACCTTGATCATCTAGAAGAGACTTGATCTAAATCCAGGAAAAGCCCGACACCAGTGAGCACTGGCTCCAGAAAGGAGACACGTACCGGGACCCCAGGTTTCCCAGTGATGCCAGGCACGCCTCGCACGCCCTGGAGGCCCATGGGGCCAGGGTGGCCCGGGACGCCATCTATGCCGCTGGTGCCATTGGGGCCTTGGATGCCCTTGGGACCCAGCTCCCCTCGACTGCCGGACTAGAGGGAAACAGCAGGAAGGGGTGGGTCAGGGCATGGGCTTCTCCCTCTGGGAGAATAAGGGCCGGCAGTTTCCTGACCAGAGCAGGCCTCTGAGATCTGCACGGCGTCAGGGCCCCGGGGCTGGCCCGGGGGCCCCGAGGAGCCAGCCTCTGCCAGGCACTCACCTCTCCTTTGGGTCCGACAGGGCCACTGGGACCCTGCAAAAGAGCAGAAGGGAAGATGTGCATTTTAATTACTTGCGTGTTGTTAGTTGGTGGGAATTACTTCCCCAGGAACCAGTCTAGCCGGTTATTAGTTGGGGACGGAAGAGCAAAGCAAGTCTTTCCATGAAGCTGCTATTTGATGGCATCACAATAGCCACAGTGGTTCCTCCTTTTTATTCTAGGTTTCGTTTTCTATTGCTGAGATTGTATTATAGCTACTGATGTTTTAAAACTTATCTTCCCTAAAGAGTGTTTTAGCTGCATAGTCCTTTCTCTCATCCATGTTTACTTTGTTCCCATTCTTTATTTTTTATCTTTTTTAACATCTTTTTTGGAGTATAATTGCTTTACAATGGCGTGTTGGTTTCTGCTTTATAACAAAGTGAATCAGTTATATATATACATATGTCCCCATATCTCCTCCCTCTTGCGTCTTTATTGTTACACATTTGGCAGAGCTGAGGGTCTCTGTGCCTAAGGCTCCCCCTTCTCCAGCTGTGACCTCAGGAGGCTGCCTGGCAGGATGGGGACAGGGACTGGGCCCCAACCAGACAGCAGACGGCCCAGGACCACTCATTCATCCATGCCACCGCCCTCTGCCCAGGCCACAGCTGGTGGCCCCCCTCGAAGCCGGAGGGAGATGGAGGGCCAGGCTTTTCAGCTCAGACAGCCTGAGTGGTAAGTCGCTGAGAGCACAGTGTGAGGGGCACTGCCCGCCTCGCAGGCAGGGGTGGAGCAGGTCGGGGGGCTGTTCCCAGGGTCCCGTGCGTCAAGGTCATCTAGGAATTCACCAAGATGAACAACACTCGCACACACGACTGAGACCATCTCAGCTCAAGCTGGGAAGAGTTGGCTCTGGGCTACGAGGTTGTGCTGGAGACGAGGGTCCCTGGGGCTGAGCCGTTCCTGTCTCCTCTAGACTCAGAGGAGGGCTCAGTCACAGAACTGGAGACCCTCACCACTGGGAGCCACGAAGATCTTTATCCCCAAACCCCCTGACTGTTCCGCTTCATTCACCCCCCGAGGTGTGACTCTGTGGATGAACTCCGTCAGGGTTTTATTCTAAACTCAACCTGAGTTTTAGCTCTGTGGAAGCAGAGTTTGCTGTAGCTCAGTCTCAACTCTGGCTAATTCATGCTGGAGCCGCAGATGGAGCACGGGAGGGCGTAGAAAACCCCAGAGCTGGGCCTGGGGCCACCTTCTGCCTTAGGGGCCGGTCAGCAGCCAGGGCCTCAGCTGCGCCTCGGTCCTCAGCTCGGCCCACCCCAGCCTGGACCTGCAGATGCTTCCCTTCCCCAGCCCCCCTACCCCGAACGTGGCGAGTTCTGTTGTCAAAAGTGAGGCCGACTTAGTCATACTCACCAGTTCCCCTTTATCCCCAGGAAGGCCATCGGCGCCCGCGATGCCCTGAAACGACACAGCTCAAAGTTGCAGAACTGTCCACGCTGCCGTTCTCCAACCGTGGTGGGAGCCGGTGCCCGAGACCCCGACCCCGGCCGAGGCACCAAGCAGACAGTAAGCAGAGCCTCAGGTGGGTTTAGCCTCTTCTAGGTCCTCCTGCTGCTCCCGGGGGGTCAGAAGCAGAGCTGCGCCCGCCCCCCCCCCCCCCTCCATCCATCCATCCATCCTTAGTCCCTCCTGTAAGGTGTCATCAATCAGCTCTTGGCTCCTGATAAGCTCTGGGAAACGTCCTCCAACAATTTGTTTTGCCCTCAAGTAAAACCCCTGGGGCACAGCCAACCCTCCAGAGAGAAGGTGCTGCCTGGAGAACAAATGTTTTTCTAATCTGCTCCTGGAACCCAGATGGCCAGCAGGGAACACACCCCACTCTGAGGGTCCCAGAGGAGCCGCCCAGGCCACAGGCGGCCCCCGTTGTACCCAGGAGCCAACTGGTTCCGGGTCCGGCTGGGTGCCCAGAGTTGTCAGCCTGGTGGTGTGCGGGGCGGCGGGAGAGGGAGGGAGATGAGAGAGATGAGAAGGATGCCCCCCAGCCCTGAAGACAGCGGGCAGCCCACAGCTGACCTGACCACCGGTCGCTCACCTGGTCGCCCTTTGGGCCTGCAGCTCCTCCCGAGCCCTGGGCAGAGAAAGGCTCAGCGTTAAAGAAACCACAGGGATCCCTGGGCGACCCGCACCCGCTGTGGGATCCTGGCCCCTAAGCGTGCTGGGATGCCCCTGTAGAGCCCTCATCTTTTTAGGGGCTCGTAGCCTCACCCCACGTGGGCTGCGCGATTGTTCCACGGGCCCTGCTGCCGGACAGCAAGGCCTCTGGGCTCGGCACCACCGGAAAAAGTTTGGATCGTGCGGCATTTTCGCTCACACGATCCCAGGGTAACTTCCCGACGCGAGCTGCCGAGTCAGAGCCCAAAGCTCGTATTGATCATCTTCCCAGGGGACTGCGGGATTAGGGGCATGTCTGGGAGAGGCCAGAATCACCCCTAAAATGTTAAAATAAAAACTGTCCATCTGCTCAGATAGCAGCGTGAGGAAGAACCCGCCCAAAGGGTCCGGAGAGTGAAACTTCCCTGTGACCTCAAAGTGCAGGCGAGGGTGACCGGGGGTGGGGGTGGGGGGATGCAGTAACCGGCCCCTGTCCCCCACGGGGACGGGCGCAGTGTCCAGGGCCTCTCTCTCTACCTCTTGGAGGCCCTGGTGCCCTTGGCATGCCCCTGACCCCTGGCATTTCTGGCCTGAAGGCTGAGGAAGGGCCCACTGTCCCAGCCCCAGGCCGTGGTTTCCGTGGCCCACCAGGCCCGGGATGAAGGGGCGCCAGAGATGGCGGCTCCTGGGTCCTGTCACTGCGAGCAGGCGGGCAGGCGGCCAAGGAAGGCACCTGAGGTTCCCCTGGGACCTGGTGTAGTGCGGCTAGGCCGGAGCCCAGACACAGCCCACAACCTCCTCCCGGGGCCCCCGGTCACCCAGACTGGGGCCCTCTGTGTCCCAAATATCATGGGACAATAGGGACACCCACAGTGCCCGACTACTGCGCACCCACGGTGTGAGGTGCCTCTGGGGGCCGCTGACGTGGCGCCGCTGTGTGTCCCGTGGGACTGTGGGTGGGGTGCAGGAGCAGGACACCCCTGCTAGGACAGCCACTTACCCGGTCGCCCATGCCGCCTCGGAGGCCTTGGGGGCCGGGCAGGCCGGGGTCTCCCATGCTGCCCTTCCGGCCCTACAGACAAGGACGCAGCGCGTCAGCACCCACAGGGAGCCCAGTGGAGGCCCCTCCCCAGCCCGGCTGGCCCACCTGGGCTCCCTGGGCGCAGACCTCACCCACCTGGAAACCACGGACACCAGGAGCTCCGGGGGGGCCTTGCGGGCCCAGAGCCCCCTGAAAGACAGACAGAGAGTGTGAGTCCAGCTCCGCCTCCCCTGTGGGGGCTGGGCAGACACAGGAGCTGGTCCCCAGCCATCTGGCCCAGTTACTGGGGAAAGAGGTGGGAGGGATCCTGGGGGGCAGCTGGGGGTCGCAGAGGTCAGGCATGCCCTCGGGCCCCGTGTGTCAGTCGGACTTGGCGCGGGCACCGATGCCGATGTCTTCCTTATCTTGGTCTATGGTGGGGCTGAGAGGCGGGGTGCTTCCCCAGGTGGGTGCTCCCTCGGCCGGCTGGGTGCTGGGACTTTGCTTCCTCAGCACAGAGGTCTCAAGGACAGGACAGCTCGAGCCTGGCCACCACCGTGTCCCAGCTTTCACAGGCTCAGCCCATTCGTGCATCCAGAGCGCCACCGCAGCCCACACAGAAAAGGGGCCACTTGGCTGTGGCTCCAGGCCCACCCCCACCCCAGGCTTCATTCCCCCGACTCACCGCTGAGCCCCTGTGGCCAGCCTCGCCACGCTCCCCGGACACACCAGCGTCTCCCTACACTCGGGGAGGGGGACAGAGGGTGTCAGCGGGGTCCGCGCACACTTGGGCTGGGGGTGAGGGCTGCAGATACTCACGGGGACACCGGGCTCTCCTGAGGGGCCAGCCTCGCCCAGCTCTCCAGCTCTGCCCTGCAGGGGAGGGGTGAGCCCTGCGTGAGCTCTGCCCACATCCCTCCGCCCAGGATCCAGGCTGCGGCCTACCCGCTTCCCCCTTTCCCCCCTCCCCCT